TTCTATGCTCTGGAAGAGTTTGTGTAGGATTGGTGTTAGTTCTTCCCTAAATGCTTGGTAGAATTCTCCAGTGAAGCCATCTGGTCCAGGGGATTTTTTTGTTGGTAGTCCCTTGATAACCTTGTCTATTTCTTCTATTGATATGGGTCTATTGAGATTCTTGACATCCACCAAGGATAGTCTAGGAAGCTTCCATCTTTTATAGAATAAAAGAATGGGTGTAAGTATATGGAGCCCTAAAAATTAGGCCATCAACCAAACTCAGGACTTCTCACACTACATCCTGCATTGGAAACGTAAACCAGTAATTCTCTCACTTAGTAACTGGAATTCAAATCTGAATAATAAGCAAGTGGCCATCTGTATAACTACCCATTGGCTAATTTTTCCACCATCCTGCAGACCGGCTCTCAGCGACTTAGCACACATCGAGATCTAGTGGTTCAGCAGTTACATCTGTGGGTGTGGAAAAAAGGCGGCCTTCCCTATAAAGTAGGGGGCCCCACATATGCTGCAGACCAGACACACCGAAGGAGTGAAGTCTGTGTCCATGAGAAAAGGCGCCACCCGGAGCCTCACCCTTTTGGGAGCCCCTTCTGTATACATACATGCTGTTCTAGCTTGCACAGCCTCAGCCAGGAAAACAAACCTCAGTGCATTGGTGCACTTTTTAAATGTATGGCTTTTCCTCTTACAGTTAAATACGAAAGGATCAAGTTCTTGGTGATCGCCTTAAAGAATGCGGTGGAGATATATGCGTGGGCTCCTAAACCATACCATAAGTTCATGGCATTTAAGGTAAGCATTGCTTTTTATTTTGGTTTTTGGGGTGTTTTCCCCAGTTGTCTCTACAGAACAAAGTGGTCTATCTGTATGACACATAAACCAGTCCCCATTTTCCTGTTTTCAAAATGTAGATATGCCTGGCTCTATTATTCCTAAAGACAAGACTAACGATGTTAGCTGTGACCTCCTGCATCTCGGGGCTAGTGACAGATTGGACAGAATGGCCTCTGGGTAAAGCACTGAGACTCCGTGTGAAGTCCTCTAACGGGGGCACGTTCTGATCATTCCTCTGGGAAAGGTAGACCCACAGCAGCACTGTAGCTCTAAGTCTAGTAATCCGCCCAAGCCTTTCTGAGTGAAGGTCCTGAAGCTCAGGTGATACTCAGACCCCCCCAATCGCAAGGATTGGACTTCTCTGAAATGGATCCTGAATGCAGGGACTTGATGGGCATGACCTTGTTTCTTGACATTCTTCCATTCTTGTTACCTTTTTATTATGATTTTTAGGTAAGGCTCATCCATTATGCCATGCAACAGGATGCAGATAGGCAAGTCCGCTTCCCCAGCTCACCCACGGGGACCCCAGAGTGCCCGGAGGAGTGCTCCTGCAGGCCCATCAATGTGCACAGACCCCCAGAGCATTCCCATGCCCGATGTGAATGTACATTCTGTTCTCGATTTCTCTCTCTGCATTGCATCCACCTTTACTTGTTTCCTTCCACCTTGGTGACTGGTCCCACCCTTTCATTGCCTGCTGCCTGCCACATAGGCCACGTGGAGGGCAGAAACGGCCTCAGGAGCAGAGACGTCAGCTCTCAACTGGACGGCGTTGCTCCACTCTGACCTCACTTTTCAAGTGTGCCCTCCAGGCCAGGGGTGTGCTCCAGAAACTAGACTGACTGGTGGAAACAGGCTTCCCGCCCTGCGCTGCTCCCCCGTCCTGCTTTTCTGGAGAGGCATTTGGGGAATTCAGTAGGTTTGTAATAACCAAGAACACGTCAGAGATGACTCCTCAAAAGCTGAAGAAAGTGGCGCTGCCCTTCTGCCAAAAAGCTCTCTGTGAAAAAGCGGATCAATCGAGGCCCCGTTCCCAGTCTGGTTGTGGAATCGCTGCCATCATCATGGTCGCCAGAGTGAATGGGAGGGTGCCGAAGGCTCTGTGCAGCAGAGCAGAGCCAGCCGGGCGAGCGAAGAGCAGAAGCAAGGGCGTGGACAGACCACGCTGGTGCTGCCAGGGCGCCACGCTCTCCTTTAGGACGAGAGCAGGAGAGGAGGGTTTGTCAGGGGGGCAGTAACATGACCAAAGCATCGATATTTTCTCGGCCTGCAAGACCCGTTGAAGGTAGCTCATGACTGATTAATGGTACAATTGACAGCTAACTGGGATTTAGGACCCAGAGTCTAATGCTTAGGGCCTTACTAAGATTGGCTGGAGCTTCTTTGGACTCATCTCGTTAAACCCAGGAAGCCAACGTAAGTTTGAGACTTGTGGTGTTCCACCTCGGCCTTCCTTCTCGGTCACCCAAAACCTAACTCTCAGCTTCAGCATCAAGTTTAGGGAAAGCACCAATCTGACCTACTGCCACTTGTTGAAGGAAAACCTTAACCAGACCATGCCCATTATTTTTGAACAGGCTTAGCACAGGGCCAGCCTCAGCTGCCCCCAGAATGTTCCGAAAGGGCAGCAACCACGGAGGGTCCTGGCTGCCACATGGAGGTTTCTGTGGCCAGGCCAAAAGGGAAAGGCTGGCCACAAGCAGGAAAGAGCAATGGTGCCCGGGCTCTAGCAAGTTCTTTGTTTTGGCTTTGTTTTACCTTTCCGTTGTAAATTAGATGAAGATTTACAGAGCAGATAATACAGTTTAAAAACTCAGTGCTTCATACACATTCTTTCATTGCAGCCCCTCAGTGTAACCTTATCCATCCGACCTGCTCCCTATGTTTCCTTTCTCCACTCGTTCTGAGCCCTTTGGAACTTTGTCGTTGGGTAAATGCTGCCCCTCTTGACCCCACATGGCCAATTATTCGAAGATGTGCCCGCATTGATAATGCTATTGTTCTCCTTGTAGACCTGTCCACTGCTGGGCCACAGGGCTGAGTTCCATTCCAGTCACAAAGGGTAACCAAGGGCCATAGTCCTGGGGACCAGACACCAGCTTTTTTTTAATATACAGTGAATGGTGCCACCCACTTAATTAGAATCCACAACTCAAGCCCACATCTCCACCCTGGAGGTAAAGAGGTAAAGAAAGAAACACGGAGTGTGCTCGGTCTTTCCTCTGAAGGCCAGAATGAAGCACCCTCACAAGAAAAGAGAGCTCTAGCTCTTTCATTTAAGAAAGGGGTGCCTTTCCACCAGACAGTGGCCGATGGAAGATCACCGGTTAACCTCTTGGGGTCGTGTGACTACTCATGGGGTGAATGTTTCAGTCTTTTGCAGACCTCCAGCACAAGCCTCTGCTGGTGGATCTCACGGTAGAAGAAGGTCAAAGATTAAAGGTCATTTTTGGTTCGCACACTGGTTTCCATGTGATTGATGTCGATTCAGGAAACTCTTATGATATCTACATACCATCTCATGTAAGTGCCTAGAAGCAGAATGTCAAGGGCCCTGTGTACAACCAGCCTGCATGCAGAAAGATTGGTTTCCCTACAGTTGTAGTAGAACGCATGCTTTTACCAGCAGCCAAGCAGGAGGACTTTGGGCCTTCACTACGTAGAAAGAAAGGGGCCCTGGTAGTGCGGTGGTCAAGCACTGGACTCCTAATCCCCCAAGGTCAGTGCTTGGGTCCCACCAGCCACTCTACGGGAGAAAACGCGGCGTTCTCCTGGCATAAGCAGTACAGCCTCAGAACCCACAGGAACAGTTCTACTCTGTCCTACGGGGTCACTGCGAGTCACGGTCAACTTGATGGCGTGGATTTCGTTTAATTTTATGGGGTTTTTTTCTAAGTTGATAGAATGCTTTTATTCCATAATACTTGTAGATTTAACTCATTTTATCACAGCCTCAAACTTAGCAACACATGGCAGTATAAATTACTTGATATTTTTCTCTCCATATTTTTTGGACGTTCTGTTGAAATGCATAAGATGTTGCTTCCTGAAGGGCATACATTTTGTGGTTTCAGCGGGCATATGATAGATGGCTGACTTTCAATATTTGAAGCAAGATTGTTTTTCTTTTGTAGGTAAAGGCCAATAGTCAGGTACTAATTTCCTGGAGAAATCTGCTTTCTTCTATCTAGTTCTCTTCAACTCGAGTGTCACGTGAGCTTGTGCTTTCTCATACACAGGAGCCCGCATCCGGGACCCACGTGTAGCAGCCTGGCAATTTAGATGCGTTTAATTTCAGCATTCCCATCTTTCAGGAGCTAGTTCATGGGGGTCATTGTTAGAATGAAACAAGATGAGGATCCAAAGTGCTTAACACAGAGCCTTGCAAATTGGATTTCTCCTCAATAGTAGTCTATCAATAGTATTACTATTACTGTATCGACTCACTGACTAACTCGTGGCTTTCAAAGAAAACACTGTGCATGAATTCACCTAGTAGGCTTTTGCAATGGCAGATTTGTGTTGTAACCCCACAACTGGCATACAGTAGCAATTATTACCAGAAAAACCTGAAACCTAGTCTGTTTCAAGGGCTTAAAACCCCAAGATTAACAATAAGTTTAATTTCACAAGTTCCTTTCGTTTACATCAAACATACATGCACACATACAATTGTCATTCGATGACCATCTGGTAAGTTTGCATCACGGCCCCATGGGCATTGAGGCTGTCTCCGTCAGATTCAGCTGGCTTGTAGTCCACTCTGTTTGCAAACCCCAAACCAAGCTCACTGCCATCAAGTCCAAGGTGACTCAGAGGGACCCTATAGAACCCCTGTAGAACTGCCTTTATCTCTCTCCAGCAGAGTGGCTGGTGTTTTCAAACTGCTGACTGAGAGGTTAGTAACCAAACACTGCTTTGCCACAAGGTTCCATGGGAAAGCACCTGACATTCAATGCCAGTGAGATACAGGTTCAAATCCCAGATCGGCTGCCAAATATGAGCACGGCTTTAACTTTCCTCATCAGTAAATGAAAATATCTATGTGGGAGTCGGAGAGCCCTCGGAAGGACTAGATATGTGTTAGCTTGGTGATGGGCACATAGTAGGTGCTCTGTGTTTGGTTTTTTTCGGGGGGAGGCGACAGGGAGGGTGGGTAAACTGCATTCTCACCCTAGTGGCAGGTTGGTATTTACATAGTCTTTGACAGATCAGTGGCTAAATTAGACAGAGCAGATTTCAGTCTCTAGAGTAAATTTGAAACAAGAAAACAAAACAAACGAAAACTGAGAAATGCCCTTTTTTTGCAGTACTTAGAGGCAAAAATATTGAAGGTGTGGTTTTGTCTGGAAAAGAAGAAGACTAACACTTGGCCTTTTGTTTGTCTTCTAGATTCAGGGCAATATCACTCCCCATGCTATCGTCATCCTGCCTAAAACCGATGGGATGGAGATGCTCGTGTGCTATGAGGATGAGGGGGTGTATGTAAACACCTATGGCCGGATCACAAAAGATGTGGTGCTCCAATGGGGAGAAATGCCCACGTCTGTGGGTAGGTTAACCATTCCTTATCTCCTTCAGCAGTTACAGCCCCCAAATGAAACGAAAGTCAAGAAATGTGAAACGACCATTTGATTCCACCAAAAAAAAAAAAAAAATGTCTGTGACTATCACGTGTGAGACTTGCTTTGTCCGTTTATCTCAAACCCTGTGTCATGTTTGTGGTTAAGATGTGAACAGATGCTGTGAACTGTTGCCCATCTAATGTTTTTAATGCCGTTTTGGAAATTCCTTTTGACAGCCTACATTCATTCCAATCAGATAATGGGCTGGGGCGAGAAAGCTATTGAGATCCGGTCAGTGGAAACGGGACATTTGGATGGCGTATTTATGCATAAGCGAGCTCAAAGGTTAAAGTTTCTATGTGAAAGAAATGATAAGGTAAATCCGTTTCAACATTTGCTTTAGTGTTTGCATTTTAAGAGACCACCAGGTACCTGTGAAACCTTCATTTTCCTGTATGCTGATTTGAATCACATCCATGTGAAGCAATCTAAATTACCTTGAAATGGCATTATTTGGTTTGATTCATGTCAAAAACAAACAAACAAAAAGACATAAGAGCGTCTTAAAATTCCTTGTAAATGCTGAGTAACTCGTGTGACCTGTGGGCCTTCTGGTGACTCAGCAGACACCCCAAATTCTCCTCAGCACTTTAGAGGGTTGGCTCATCATTAATCACCTCACCATGGGCCGACTTCACACCCTCCCTTTTAAGGCTTTTCACAACGTTACAGTCAGGACCTAACCCGTCACCCTTAAAGGTCGAACATTTGACGTGTAGTCATCGTAACGTTTAAGCAATGCCACCTCTTCTGTGAGGAATGCAGAATCACAAACTCAACTAGTGCCATGCCCGTGTCATCCCAGCCGTGTTTCTTCTGAACTGTCATAGGGGGACTCTGTGTCCCCGTGAAATGGGCCCTGTCCTCTGTCCGTCTGTCATGAGGAGCTACTGCACAAGAGTCTTCTGCTGCTGAAGGGTCTTCTGCAGCAGTTCCCCCTCCACCTGGCCCTCCCTGTGAATAACCCAAGGTTTCCAGCAGCTTAGCTGTTCTGCATATGTGAACCCGTCCATGGTAGCTGTGACCCACTTAGCAATGCTTTCCCAAACCGGCCAGAACAGCCATCCCCATCGACTCGCCCACCCTGGTTCCCCAGAGGCCAATCTGGTCTTACTCCAGCCCTGGAAAGGGTAGGTCTAGACCAGATTCTCTGCTGGCCAACAACTCTTGGCTTGATGTGGTTTAGGGGTGCCAAGGATGGCTTCAAAGACCATACCAGACTATGCCAGGAAAAACCGTGATCCCTAGTAGCATTCTGGCATCCACCTAGTCTCTTTGGATATCCTAAAACTAAGATTGATCTGGCCTGGAACCACACGCAGGTTCACGGAGGAGCCCCCCGTACACACACACACACACACACACAGCAGGCTGTGTGCCCACACTTTTGGGAGTAGGTTGGGACACAGCAGTGACAGGGGCCGAGGTTAAGAGCCCAGAGCCCACAAGCTGGAGCGAAGCCGCAGCCCTTCCCGCGCTTGTCTTGGGTTTCCATGGCCCTCTCTTGGTGCCTCTCCATGTGGAGTCACGGACCCTCCGGGGGGTCGCTGACTTTCATATGTAGCCTTAGGGAACCGGCAAGCAGGCCCACAGAACTTCCCAAGGAGTTGGTGTGGTTGACATCGCTCTTCTGAAGAAGTCGTGGACATGAAGTAGCAGAGACGTTATTCTAGTGACAAAAGCAAATGCCTTGGACCAACGTTAGAAGTTGGCCGACTCGAGGGCTAGGCCAACCCTCAGAGTGTTATTTTCCTGGGACTGTCGTCCCTGGACCTTTAGCTCAAACAGGCCATTGCTGGAAGTGTCGTCCCTTCTCTCAACTCTCATAAAACGATTGAACGGACTCAGACCTAAGGGACTGCGGTTTCCCTTAAGATTGGCGTCATCACAGTTGGCCGATGACAAGCCAGGGTCAGCAGAGACGCCAAGCATTAACTCTTAAAATGCCAGCGTGAATCGGCACTAACCCCCTTACCCTGTTTGACCACAAACACATTACTGTTTTGTTTTTATTTTAAAAGTTAGAAACTAAAGTCTGAGCGTAGTAGACACCCTGCCGTCGCCCCCACCCCGAATGCCCCTCTGTGACTTCAGGAATGTGAAAGTATTCTCGCCAGTCCCAAAGGCTCTCCTCTTGTCATCACGGGGAGAGAAGTGGAACCTCTGTGCCTTTCCAGACCGTACCTAAGGGCTTCTGATACCCCAAGCCACCAACCTAGCGCACGACCCTAGGACACAGCACAGCACCCTGCTCCGATGTGAGCAGCCAAAGGGATGCTATGAGTCAAGTACGAGCCCTTCAGTGTCTTTGGAGGCCAGTCCCACCATCAGTCATGATAACCGTAGTCATCTACAACAGATGTGCTCACCCAGGATGCACTGTAGCCAAAGGCACTTTATTAAACACCAGCCGTTGTGTCCTCAGAGCAGACCCGTGGCAAGGTTAGTTCATGGGAGAGAAAAATGGATGGACGGTTGAAGAAGGAAAGAGGAAGAGAGAAAGAGAGAGAGAGAGGGGAAAAAAGCAAGGCAAAACCATGCAGTTGAACTAATTTCTTTTTAATTTCAAACAGGTATTTTTTGCATCCGTGCGATCTGGAGGAAGTAGCCAAGTGTTTTTCATGACCCTCAACAGAAATTCCATGATGAACTGGTAACAGAAGAGCACTTGGCACTTAGCTTCATGGCGTTCTTTCTAATGTAAAAGAACCTAACTCGTGTGGACTGATGCCAGTCTAGAGGCAGAACCTGAAGGCTTGGTTGAACAGACCACATCCCCTTGTCCTCTCCCCGCGCCCGTCCCAGTACAGTCCCGCTTCCAATGTTGCAGCCTGGTTGAGAAAGAGAGAGGTGGCAGGAGTTTCCAGGAGAGCCCCAAGAACGCTGCCTTGTCTGTGGACAAAGATGGACACGTGCCCTTCGGCGTTAGGGATAGAAACAAATATTGTGTGCTCCTATGATTAAGTTGTGTGTGGGTGGGCTTTGAGTTTTTGTTTGGGGGTTGTTTGTTTTTAACCTTGTTCTTTATTCCCCCACCCCCACCCCTCATCCTTTTGAAGACTGGGGAGAGAATGCCTACTGAGAAAATGAGTCGGTTTTTAATTCTGTCTGCCTGCTAGCATTAAGTATATGGTATGTTGTAACATCTCCAATTTCGAATGGTGAGAGACAGCACAATAAATGTACCTTCTCTCCTCACACTGAAGGCCATAACTGCATAGTGGGGTACTTTTAGAATTCTTTTGCCTTCACCAACCCCCACCCCACCCCAAAGAGTTGCTTTTTGATAGCAACTGGCTAATGAATTTTTAAAAGAGAAGAAAAATACTAGTTTTCCCCTCTTTCGGGAAGTAGATGTTAAATGGCTAAGCTACTAGCCTTAGACTAATCAAATCAACTACCACTTTTGAGAGCCTGGCAGGTGATCGTCTTCTATGGCCCTCTGCAGGATGGAATGTGTGGACCGGGACAGTAGAGCCACGGAGTTGAGGTGGCTCCAGGGATGGAGGGAGTCCTTAGCGCAGCTTTCCCTCAGCTGTTTGGCAGCAGCGCGGGGCAAAAAAACGGATGGCAGGGAGGGTCCGGCAGAAAGAGCTAGGAAACAAGCTAATATATATACTTTTTTTTTTTAATGCACAAAGCCTCTGTGGCCACCAGGTCATGTGGCTTTGGCTTCCTTAGGAGGGAGCCTTTGTGGGGTGGCCGCTGGGAACTGAGGAGTGGATGACAACCAGGCTCTGGCCGTTCCCAGCTCTCTCCTGAGAGTACCACTCTCAAGACGAAAACTGGGACTGAAAAGGAATTCACCCTCAGTGTCTCTGAGTGGCGGCCTGTGTTCTCTCTGGGTTGGTGACAGAAGGGACTAGACTACTAGGCCCGGCTGTGACACAGACAGGCATTACTGGTTCAGATTTTATAGAACTTGAAAGCCAGGCTTTGGCCCAAATGCTGAGACCCTAGTCATTTTACCTTCCTCCAAATGACCCAACATGCGGTAAACAACATTTGTGCAGAATTATGTATGTATTTAGTTCAGGTTGACTTGTGTCCTATAAACTCTTCCTCAGATGATTTGAACTTCTCTGTGACTGTCTGGGATTTTTTTTTTCTTTTTCCCAAAGCTACAAGCATGGCCACCTGTGGTATCAAGGTGTTGCAAAACAAAACAAAACAAAACAAAAAAAAACGGTCTCTGTGTTGCGCTTCCTGTGTTAACCTACCTCGTTTTCTTCATTTGCGTTTTACCGTTCATCACAGCAGTGTTATCTCCAGGAGATATATAGAGAGCTCACCTGGCAATCTCAGGTGTACTTAAGATGTGTAAAATGAAACAGTAGTTGACCAAATTGTTCTTATAAATAAAAAAGAAAGAAAATGAATAAATACCAACAACAAATGCCAAATGTGGCTCCTTTGTGGAGAACCATATGATGGCTATCAACTGATCTAATCAGCCACCACAGGAAAAATCTAAATGTATACGATCCCCCGGTTTGGCCTGACCACATGAGCAGCTGATGTACTATTAATGAGAACAAAATACACACGGAGCCGTTTCCTTCTGGTGAGTTGGGTGCCGGGGGAAGGCAGGAGGAAATCTGGTTTCGGGGTCGGATCCTCTGCCCTTCTTCTGAAAGGGGCTGGCCTTTGCACTGACTGGAAGCAGGGAGCCTGACAGGAATGGGATGGAGGACGGTCTTCAGGCAGTCCCCAAGATATCCTCGTCACAGCCCCTTGAGCGCTCAAAAGCAGTGAAGCCCTCCGGTTCTCGTTTGTACTGCTCGGTTGCCCTGCTGAACGGTGTGATCTTGACCAATTCAGCAATAACTTTCGGACTGAACTTTAACAACTACTGTAATCGGACGCTGGCACAAACAAACTAGGTTGTTCTGGGTCGCATCCCCTGAAATGTGATTGCCACCAGCTCTTTATATTGCTGCTGTGGTATTGGAAACCAGAAGCTTCTTTAAGTTATGTTGCGAACTGATCTTTTGTTGTTTGTGTGTGTGTGTGTGTGCGTGTGTGTGTTCTGTTTTTATTTCTAAATGATATGTTTGAAACACACAGCTTTAACTGATTTTTTTATTGTGGGGTTTTTTGGGGGGTTACAGTTAAGAAATAAAAGGGAATCATGGTGTTCAAACATAAGGTAGTTTGTGAATGTATTTTTTAAAACCTAGATTCATTGAAGCAAAGATCATAAGAACAATATTAACGAAGTCTTGTTTACAGTATGTACAGTGACAACATAGAACACAAGCTTTTCTGGTGCCAACAACAATAAAACACTGACGTGAAACAGCAAGCCATGCCTTTTATATTTTTGTACATGCACTGCACACTGAGGGGAAGGCCAGGCGGCATTGGAAGGTGCCCTTCCCCCAGGGTCTGCGCTCCTTAAAGAACACCTGGAGAAGTCCTGGAAGCTTTCATTTCAAAACTGCATCTCCCTTCAGCAGGGCAGGCCCCAGCTCTGACACACTGATGCCTTCTTCCTGCTGAGGGTTCCAACAGGCGGGCCTGCAGCTCACACCCTCCCCAACTTACTTTGCTTTCAGTTTCCCTGAAGGGGAGAGGGGGGAGAGGAGGAGGCTCGTCCTCCTCATCTGCCCTATAAACACTTACAATTCCTTGTGTTTCCATCTTCCCATAGGGGATTTCCCTTCCAAACTGGCTCATTTTGTTATTAATTTCCCTACAAAGAGAGGGACTGAGCTCCTGTCCAAAGGGTCTCTCCTGGGATCTTCCGGACCTCGCTGATTGAAACTGATAGTCATCAATCCGTAAGAGGCACTGAGCCTGTCCACTCAGTAGTGCTGCTCCAGCTTCTGCGAGGCAACCACTATTCCTGGGTGAGAGTCAGGGACATTGTCGTCTGGCTGCCTGCATCAAGTGGATGGTGGAAATAGATGACTTTCATTTGAAGGTCCCTTACTGGCAGGGACCATGCCAGTCACTGTCAAGTGGAAAGGAACCATGTTTCACCTGAAATCTAAACCTAAGCTCCATCTGTAGTCAGATGACTCTTTAGGTAGATCTCATTCTTTTTCTTGAAGATGTGTACACGATGCTTCAAGAAGATGTGTAGCTACTAATACAGTCAGTGGAGAGGAAGGAGTGGGTGAAATCCCACCCAACCATTGGCCAGGGGCTCCCTTTTCTCCTCCGGCATCACTTTCTCAGATGCCCCCCTCACCTACTTTGCACCAAGCACACACATTTTCAAGAAGCATCCTTATTCTTCGTTGTCAAGGCCTACCAACAATTTTCGGTCTACTCGTGTCACCCAATGGTAACTGTTGCTGGTCCCTCTCGTGCAGGAGGTTAGAGAGATGTGAAATTCAGACCTGAGCCCTTTTGCTCTGGTCTGTTCCCAGACAAGGAGATGCGGCTGCAGTCTGACCTCACATTCCCAGGGGTTAGAAGCCAATGTTTTCCCCACTGAGGTGTGTACCCCTCCCTGCCGTCGTCATCGTCGTCGTCCCAAAGCACAGAAGTGCTTGGTCTAGCGGTGTGTCTGCTGTCTTTGGAAGTCTGTGTGGACAGGTGTCACTTACATTTGTGCTGATGGTTTTCCATGATAAGGTGTGCTATATTCTTATTTCAAAAAAAAAAAAAAAGATAGACTTCTTGATCAAACGTAAACCCAATTTCCAACGAGTTTATCCCAACTCATGGGGACCCCATTGTGTATCAAACCTACTGGGGGAAAGAGGAAACCACTCACCTCAGGGTATAGCCCTCCTGAGTGACCTCCATGCTCGCTGTGTTCTGAAAGCCTTTCGGAAACTGTCTTCTGACCATCTCAACAGTGTCCTCTCGTGTCGTGCCTCAGAAATTTAAATCTAGCCATAGCAAATAACACAAAAAAAGCAAACCAAACACCGACCTCCCCGAACCACCTTACAACGTAAAATTGAGTAGTCTACATTGGACCTCGCTTACCAGTAAACATTTCTCCCAAGCACACCTCGACATTCCGGGTGGGCGCTTGGTCTCAGTAGCAACATCTGGAATTTGAACGTGAACTGACCTTTTAAACTGGTACTGCTTCAAGAGCAAGAAGAAAACTTCTTGAGAAGGTGGAAGTTCAAAGCTGACAAAGTGCACATTTCTTCCGGACATTTTTGAGAGGTTTTTTTTTGGTTTGGTTTTTCAACTTAGATAATGCACTATTGTTCTGGGGATGTTCCATAGACAATTAGAATATGCAACAGACTGCATAGCATTAGACAGTCTTAAATCATGACTGCTTTAAACTTTATTCTTCTAGACCTGCCATTCCAGAAAGTACCAGAATGCACCAAAATAAAAATTGCTGTAAAAGCAGTGTTTAGACACACACACACATAGTGGATAAAGTTTTAGCTACTTTTAAATCCAGTACAAGGTCACAACTATTCATCCATGATGCCAAATGTTTGGATGAAACGAGAAGATTCCATCCCAATGATAACATGGAGAAGTTCGCAGGTTTGGGGCTTGGGTGCACGTCTTCCTGGGTGGGGCTGGTTGTGGCTGCTGAGCTACAGAGGCGCAGAGCTGACTTGTGCTGCAGGAGAGGCTGAGGTGGCATGGGGAGTGGGCTTCTCCCCAGCAAGGGATCCTTGTTTGTGTGTAGCAAATATCTAGGCCCAGGTTGATCCTCTTTTACCCTCTTCCCATGGTCTGGGGGGTGTGAAGAAATAGAAATGCCATATTATGGTTTGTTTAACAACCGGAATCAGAATTTCAAATGTCAAGGGGCAGGCAGCCTCAAAGAGAGTCACTATCAAGGGGGGGGGGGCGCGTGTGATAGCTCAGCTGAGTCATAGACTTGAAGCTGCTATGCAACTTCCTTTGTGCATTTTAGTCGTCTTTACTATGTTACCATGTTGAGATGCTGAGCATATAGCCTTGGAAGGGAAAGCTGTCATTTCCGTGGTGCCTACAGTTGTTTACATGTTTAAATTCCCAGGCTCCTGAGTGTTTTAAATTGTCAAGAAGTTGTGGAAGCTGGAGAGCATCTCACCTGAGAGGTGAAATGAGCAGAGGCTCCCTGGCCCGCTGCCGAGTCTGAGTGTGCAGGTTCGGGTGCGTCCTCATCCTTGCGAAAGGCTTCAGAAAGAATTGTCTATAAATGGCTTTGGTTGGTTGTAAGTGGAGGTTCTCCCAGACCGGCAGGGGTGCACCCTGGGATATAGATAGTCTTTTATGTTATCACTGTCACAATGTGAATCGTGGATAATAAAACATTAATAACAGCAGGGTGCCTGCTTGTTCTCATTGCCACCTACAGGCTGGCCCTCTCCCTCCTCTAACCCCCACCCCTCTGAAGCCCTCCTGTCACCTTCGGCTACGCCCCCTTGTTGCTAAAATAGCTAAACTCTTGGCTCGCTGTCACTCTCCAACTCCATCCTTTCTTAGTTCTTGAGGCAATCCACCAATGCCCTGGCTTCTGAACCCCCTGATCTTGTCGTTCCCAGTCAGGGCTCCTTAAGTGATAGCGGGAACTCTTCTCGTTTGCTGGAATGGAGCTGTCCTGTGTGCCCATGATGCCCCTCTCTTCTGCATCACCCATGTTTCCTTATCTAATGGAGCATCCCACTACATTCATCCTGGCTTATAAGTGCCCTCCTTTATGCCACTCCGGGGTCCCTAGCTGGTAAAAAGTGTTACGCGTTCAAAAGTTCAGGGCTCAAAACCCACCTCAAGGCCGCTCAGAGAAGACCTGAAGATCTCCTCCCCGCTGTGAACACCCCAGGAAGCACACTGCCGCTCTGCATACACGGGGCCATTGGGAGCCAGGGACCAACTATCACTGGGTTGGTTGGTTGGTTGGTTTGTTTGTTTGTTTGTTTGTTTGTTTGTTTGTTTGTTTTCCCTTACTGCCCTGTCTAAGGAAGAGCCCTGGGGGTGTAGTGAGCTGTGTGTTGGGCTGCTAACCATAAGGTCAGCAGTTCAAAACCACCAGCCGCTCCATGGGAGAAAGATGAGCCTTTCTACTCCCTTAAAGAGTGACAGTCGCAGAAACCCAGCGGAGCCGTTCTGCTCTGTCTGTAGGGTCGCCGTGAGTCCGAATGGGCTCAATGGCAGTGTCTGTCCCCTTCCCAGATTCCCCATGAGAAACTGCGCCCAGCCTTCTCCAGGGTCTCTATTCCTTTGGTCTCATGAGCCAATTCCAATGAGGCTCTCCTCCTCACCAGAGGGGCCCTTGCCAAGGACACACAGGATCTCACTGTCAGATGCCATCCATGGTCGTATCACTTGACTGATCTGCAGTCTTTGTCACGATTGATAATTAGCTCCTTTGTTAAGTACTTGCTGGGCTCTGTGATCTCCCTCTCCCACTATTCCTTGGTCACTCCTTCAAAGTCTCCTTTGCTGAGTCCCCCAAGTGTCCCAACACTGGACATCACCTTCTCTGGGGGTCATCCCCTCCAGTCTTGGTTTAAATACCATTTCTAACAAGACCACGCCCACGTTCTCTGTCTCCAGCTTCTACCTCTGTACTCAAAGCCCGACTTCGACAGCTAGCTTCCTCCTTGGCCTCGATCTTCCTTTGGATGTGCAGTGGAGTTCTCAAACTTGGTATGTAGTGAAGCTAAACTGAATTTGCACCCCATCCACCAATACACCAGTCCTTCCTGTGTTGGTAGATGTTAGCTCCGTTCTTTGAGACCAGGAATTCTTGTAGTTGCCCATCATATATTCTTCCATGTACTGCATCCAATTCATTTTTAAGATCCAGTTTTCTTGAGGTTCAAACTGGACCCAAGCCATTTCTTACCTGCGATCAGAAATGTCTATGTGTAAGGCATATGTCAGCTTATGTTCCTTTTGTGCTACATCTCAATTTTTTCCCATCCAACTTTGATTATTAAAGTCTTTACAATAGCGTAGGAGACCCTTTCTATCTGTACTGCACCCCCAAGTCCTTCCATCACTTTTAGACCTCAGTTTCAATCTGCCCCAGCCACCCTTAACCTCCTTGGCCAGACTCCCTGCACCATGCTCCTCTCTCAGGGCCTCTGCCCTTGCTCTTTCCTCTCTTACCTTGCTGTTTGCCCTTGCATGGCTCACCCTCTCCATTGCTTTAGGTTTCCATTCCCTTCTGTATCACTTGTGACTGTCCATGCAGTGCATTGGCCTATCTCAGTACTGAATAGAGTGCTGGTAACTAGTATCCACATAGTAAGTATTTGGTGGATAAATAAATGAAAATAAGAAAGATTAGTGAGGGGGGAAAAAGTAGAATTCATATAGCTATTTTCACATAAATATCAGCGATGAGGCTCTCTGCAACCTCTTCAGCATGAAAGCCTG